AATCATATAAGCACACGAATCACATTAGATAGTAGACATGAATAAATAAACTATCAAACCAAACAATGTGGTCAAGAGTATTGTATTAGAGAAATACCGTATTGCATTTGTAATCCTAAACTGAATAGGTTCTCCACCTCTTCTGATTAGCTTGGGTAACCATGATATGCTACTAGGTGTCACTCTTGGTTTGTGGAAGCCCTAAACGTGTATAATCACTAAAGGGAGAATTGAAAGTAAGTTTCAATTCACAATCGATTTGAAAGAGTTTGAATCGCCCACTGCCTCGCTAAAAGGAACCTAATGGATCGTACACCGTGTAAGGTGGAGATTGAAGAAACAATGGAGATGAGTAAGAATAATTAAATGGTTTAATTATTTATGGCAAGGATTAATTAATATGTTAATTAATCAAATGAATAAGTTCGTTAAAGGCCTCGGGATAGTTTTGGACGTTTAGGCCCAATGGGCTTCGAACGTCAAGCCCATTGACTTAAGTTGTATGACAACTTAATTCACAAAAGCCCAAAAGCCCAAACAACACCCTAAGGCCGGCCATATGGTTAAGAGTAGTGAACTTGGACTTATTTACAAGTTTGTCACTCAAATGAATAAAGGTATAAATATGACTTTATAGCCAAAATTCATTAAGGGTTTGTTTTAGAGAAAATTGGATAGAACATGTCTCTCCCTTTCTCTCTAAAGAGGCCGGCCCCTTGGAGGGTGCATCTAGCAATCCCATTACTCCAAGGTCACTCATTTCTTCTCTAATCTAACCTTGGTGAAGATACTTAGAGGTTCTCAATTTTAGGAACTTGGAGAAACCTTTTCATCCATCCAAATCCATAGATTTTAGATGCCAGGAATGAAGGCCCTCTTTTTGGGTGATTAGCCTTTGCTTATGCAAAGAGGAATCTACAAAGGTACAATTTCAACTCACTATGTTTTGAGTTGAGATTTGGTTCACCAATCTACTAGGCTTTGAATTTCATGGTTAATGTTTTGTTTTTAAGTGCATGCAAGCATGATTCCGCCTTTAATTGTTAATTTCATGCTTATAGATGTTGCTTAAATGAACATGTTTTCACAAAATCTTTAGGAACCACCAACATAGAACTATATCTAACATGCAACCCGTTCGTGGCGTCCAAATCAAATGTGAACATGCAAGACTCATTAAGTTTTCTGAAAACCTTTTGAAAAACCATATAACTCCTAAGGTGTGTCGTCCATCCTAAGTAGTTACACATGTTAACCACAAGAAGCCTTAGTCAATTTTAGGGACAACCCTCCGCCAAAATTGCATCAAATTACTTTTCTAAATATCATAATGGTCGCGAATCACTAAGATTAATAGATAGTTTAAAGCACAGTGATAAACAATTCAAAACTTGCATGCATAAATTCATAAGAAAATTAAAAAGAGACTACATATTCTTGCTAAGGATCATGGCCTCACCCCAGTAATAGAAAATTAGCTACGCATATTCATAATTAAAATCAACATAATTGTATTAAACTAGTAAAAGAATGACAACACCTGAAAGTATAAGTCTTGGAAACTCTAAGCTCTTCCCAAAGTCTTCTCCCAAAAGTTGCATACGTTCCCATGAGAGACCCTAGGTCTGCCAAAAGGCTTATTTATACTACTCTCAGTAAAATCCTCCTAGTCAAAGGTCTTAGCATAAGACTAGGAAACTAAATAAATTGAAATAAATTAGGAAACGTGATTCTAAATTAACTTGGTAAATTCACCTAGAAATCTGCACAACCACGTTTTGGACCCAAATTAGCCCCAAAACTGGCCCAAAATAGCTTGATTTAAAGTTTGGACTATTTTGAACACTTCTCTAGAGGGCCACGAACCCATTTGAGGTCGTCTTGGGCTCCAAAAATACAATTGAAGCCTAGAAACGTCACTTTCCAGTAACGTGCACTGTTCCTTCATTAAATCACCAGAAAATAACCGCTTGGTAGAAATTGCTGAAATTTTGACATGAACAAGCTAAGGGACACATGAATGTCCTCCAATTTGAATCACTCCAAAATTCGTCTGTTGGTCACGTTTGTCTCTAGAGGAAGTCGAATGTCCTATATTGAAAATATAAAGCAAAGTATGAAAATTCTACCAAAATAATTACCAAAATAATACTAAGAATAAGGTAAAATATATAATATAATATTGACTCATCAAAATACCCCCAAACTTAGCTTTTTGCTTGTCCTCAAGCAAAACAAAACTCAAAAACAAAAATAAAACTAACAAACTAGAAACTTAACTAAAACTAAATAACAAAAATTTTCACCTTCAAAGTTGCAATCCATAGAAAACGTTAAAAATCAGAACATCTTTTTAAAAGCTCAACTAATTCCACTACAGAGTCTAAGCCATTTAGAATCAATTAGAAAAGAATTCATGAACTTCCTTTGGTGTAAAGTGAATCAACATAGTTAAGGAGACTCGACTAAAACCCTTACCTCTCATCATTTTATTCAACACTTCACATAAACTAACTTGAAGCATAACTCTTAAATTTTTTTTTCTCGAATATATATATATATATATATATATTTTTTAATTTTATTTTAATTTTTTCAGTAACAGTAGGGGTCGTGCAATGTCAGTTCACTTAAGTTTTCGATCCAACCCATGTAGCGAACTTTAGGTCAATGACTCCCAAACCACAAGGGCTTTAGGGCACTAGGTGTAGAACACCCCTAAGGACTTATTAACCCGAGCTGAAAAGGCTACAAAACCAACTAACCACCCTGCCCCATGCTAAAACTCTACTGTTTGACATGAGAATCACTGCTGATTAGGCAAGACTGGCCTGGTTACTAGGCAAAGCCTCGGGTGGAACAATTATTACTTTATAACACATACTAACTTTACTAAGAACAAAAATTAAAATACACTTAGACGAAAAGTAAGTGTTTCAATCTCACTCCCAACAAACCATGTTGATGTGAATGTGCAAAATTTCAAAGTATAACTCATGAATTAGTCTCTAAACAACGATAAATAGAAAAGACTCTATCATGGGATTAATCTTCACTATGTCCATTTGTTCTAATGTTTAAAATAATCTATGGATATTAACTTAAAAATAATGAAAATTTTATTTTTATTGACTCAAAAAAATTAAAAATTTTATTCTCCCACCCCCAAACTTAAATCACACATTGTCCCCAAGGTGTGGAAAATAAATAAAAGAAAATAAACAAAAATATGAAATCCTAAAATAAAAGTAAAACTACTATCAAAGAAAATGACCTAAGAAAAAGAGAATATAAAATAACAAAGACACAGAAAATAAGAGAAAAGAAAAGGAAATGGACACACCTGGGGATCAAAGTGGCGACCTAAGGCAAGGAAAGTATGCGCTGGCCAACAGGTAGAAAGCCACATGTGTGTTGACCTTTAGCAACGACTATGATATAAACGGGTGCAGCCTCTATATTTGACAGTTAAAAAAAACCTAGCAACTACACCGACTCTCAATGCAACTAGGGATGACCTCGAGCCCAGAGCCCAAACGCTCTCTCCTCTTGTGAATTCAAACTGTGTCCTAGGGAAGCATAAAAGCTGAGGATGCACACTGGTGTTATGCATCAGGAAGCGGGGCTCCCTAGGATTCCAATTGAAAGGCTCTCTCTCTCTTGAAATCAAATAAAACCTCTGTGCTTTCATCCCTTTCTCTCACAGCAACACAAACCCTAAGTAAAATCAATAGCTGCTCCCCCATTAACATTTCAACCTCAATGTTAAGCCTCTGCTTTCTTGACTAAAACGACACTCCATATGGCTGCCATGTCGCTCCACTGTGTTGATTTTCATTGAAAAATCAAAGATCTAACACATGCATGCCTTTTGTGTTTTCATGAGGACATGGATCTACAACAAGGGAGACGTACTAACACCCTAAAAATTACAAATCCATGGTTGAACATTCGAGACTCCTCCATTCTGCAGGTAAAACACAAGCACCCCTAAACTTTGGTTTTGATGTTAATGTCTAAGTTTCATTTCTGTCATTTGTGTTTGGGACCAGAAGGCGAAGGAGTCTAACATCCATTCATTTTCTGAGTTAAAATGTGTGTAGACTGCTCACAAATTTATCGCCTGAAAAGTAGAAACGAAAGCAAATCATCTCAGACCCATAGATCCAAGCATAAGACAAGTAAAAACTCATGTTGTGAAATGTTAAGCTCCGTATGGCAAAGAATGGTTCAATATCACTGCATAGCTCCAATGTCCATCTCTGTGTGCATGTAGGTAGCTCGGATCAAGTGGGAATCAGAGAAAAAGAATGCTCAAGCTGTAAATGTAGTCGACAAAATGGCAAAGCAAATCTCGAAGTCGCCCCGACCTTGGATCTGAAAGGTATAAACACCCATCTCTACTATGTGAATCACATATATGGTTGATGTTGATGTAGTTCTGCGCATAAAGTCCTATTTGTTTTCAGTCTAAAATAATCTCTCTGTGCATAAAGTCCTATTTGTTTTGTTTACTGTTTGCAAAAAAAAAAAAAAACAAGTTGGGAAAATTAAAGAGAATATATAAAATATTGACGGTAAACTAAAAAGTAAACAAGTAATTTTTTGTTTTGTTTTGTTTTGTTTTGTTTTCTTCTTGTGTTTCTTTGTTTTCTTTGTTGAACGAACTGACAGCCTAGGAATTTAAATGCATCTAGACTGAAAATAATAAAATAAAAGAGATAGAAAGTAAAGAAAAAGGTAGAAAATTGAGTTGCCTCCCAATAAGCGCTTTATTTAACGTCTGTAGCTAGACAGAATAGAAGCTCAGTGATTAATTACTAGATCCTTCAGAGCCATTGACTTGCTTGCACTGAACTTCCTTAGGAATGGCTTTAGTAGATACTTCTTGACCTTGAGCACACAACCCCTGCCCTCTGTTTCAATGTCCACGTTGTTGTTCTGAAAAACTTGCTTAACCATATAAGGGCATTTCCACTAAGACTCTTGTCTCCCTGGAATCAATAACCACGCCTTTTCACCAGGTTGTATTTTTTCAAAACTTTTGCTGCCTTGCAACGTGTTACTACTTTTTTTTTAATGTCAATTGGTTGGACATCATGCAACACTCTTTGCTGCTTTGGTTTTGGACCGATGCAATCTTGAATGAAATTTGGAGGCTTTATGGACAGATGGTCAGTTGATCTAGTCATAAATTTATCACGAGGGAACCCATCTAGTGTATCAACACGCATGCATTCTTGCTTTTCTGCTGGCTGTTTGGTTGCTTCAAACAAATTAAAAACCAGTAATTGATTTTGGACCTTTAGTGTTAAAGTTCCAGCTTCAACATCAATAAGAGTAAGGGCTGTTGCCATGAAAGGACGGCCCAAAATGATGGGTGTTTTCAAATCCTCACCCATGTCTAGAACCATAAAATCTGCTGGCAAAAATAAGTTGTCCACCTTTACAATAACATCTTCAATGACCCCTCTAGGATAGGTAATTGAATGGTCTGCCAATTGAATAATCCTGGATGTTAGCTTTAGCTTACCTTCACCTAAACGTTTAAAAATAGAATAAGGCATTAGATTAATACTAGCACCTAAATCAATTAAAACGCTACTAAAATCACAATTTCCAATAGTGCAAGAGATAGTAAAACTCCCTGGGTCTTTCTTCTTTGGAGGTAATTTGTGCAATAAGATAACGCTGCATTGTCCTGTTAGCACAATCTCTTCTAACTCCATAAGCTTTCTTTTCTTACTGCACACATCTTTCAAAAATTTGGCATAAGAAGGGATCTTTCGAATGGCTTCTAATAATGGCAAATTAATATTAACTTTAGCCAATGTTTGCATGAAATCCCATAATTGCTAATCTTTGAGCCTTGGTTGTAACCTCTCAGGATAGGGAAGAGGAGGATCATAAACACGCACTGATTTCTGGGCAGGGGCAGATTCTGAGTTATTTGAAATCTGCCCAGAAACAGTTTCTGCATCTTTTTTTGTAGTTTCAGTAACTATATTGTTAATTTCTACAGCCTCGTCCCTGTTGTCATTTTTTTCTTTGTCTCGATTGTCATAACTTTTTCTGAATCTCAACGTCCTTATTGCACAACAATTTTTTGTACCTCTTGGATTTGGAACTGTTTGGTTGGGAAATTTTCCTTGTTCTCTTTCTGTGATATTACTTGCTAGCTGCCCAAATTGCCTTTCCAAATTAGTTATGGAAGCCTGCATGTTCTGCATGTTTTGATTCATAGTTTGTTGTATCTTTTGCAGGTTCTGATTGCTTTGTTCCAAACTGATGCAAGTAGCCTCTGCCAACTTGTCAATTGCAATTTCCCAAGAAGCTCTAGCTGGTGCGGCAAGTTGATGGACTGGTGGTGGGAATGGTGGTTTAACTTGCTGCTCACCACCCTATTTTAAATTTGGGTGATCTCTCCAACCCGGATTATAAAAATCATTTCTTTGCCTTGGATAATTGTTGATTGCATTAACTTGCTCTGCCACAGAATCTGGATGTGCATCTCTCTGTGGACAACCCATAAAATCATGTGTAGGCTGGCTGCAAATTGCATAATAAGCTGCTGCAGGTTGCTGGACAGCAAATTGTTGAACTGGAGTTACCATTTTCCTCAAGATCATGTCGAATTTTGCATCAAAATTTTCAATTTTTCACTCAATCTTTTCAATTTGAGCAGATACATGTGGAGACCCTATGGACATTTCAAAAACGCCCCTATTTTGTGTCTGATCCCCTACGCATTGTTGAGATTCAGATGCCATGTTGTCAAACAATTGATAGGCTTCCTATGCATTTGTTTGAATTTAATCCTCTGAAAAATATGCCCATCCGTGTGTCTCCATCAATGCCTGTGTGGGGACACTCTCTGAATAACTCCTTAAAACGCTCCCATGCCTCGTGAAACTCTTCATTAGGCTTTTGGGCAAATGATAAAATTTGAGTTCTCATATCACGAGTTTTAGAGGCTGGATAATATTTGTTAAGAAATTTGTCACTCATCTGTGCCCACGAAGTGATACTGGCAGATGGTAGTGTAAGTAGCCATGTTCTTGCCTTGTCCTTCAATGAATAAGGAAACAAACGAAGTTTGATTGATTCTGCAGTAAACCCCTTCACTATAATATTTCTGCACCCTATTAAAAACTTTGTGATATGCATATTAGGATCCTCATGAGCTAACCCATGAAAAGTAGGCAAAATCTCCAACATGTGATGTCTAATTTTGAACGCGTCGCCTTCCTCGTCTAGATATACAATGCAACTTGGTAACTCATTAGCACGGGCTGCTAATGTATACCTCAATGGATGCCCAGTACCTGGTATGGCGAAAGCCATGATAGCCTCGTTGTCCAAAAGCCCAGAAAACAGATTTTTCAGAAAAGGGCCCTCCAACGATGGTTCTCACGCTAAAATCTGCTCCCTGCGCCTTTGTCATAATATTCGTTCCGGCTCTAAGTTGGATTCTAATAGCTGCTGATTTTGAGATCTAGTACAGATCATGAACTGGATCTGCCCAGATCGTGCGATCTGTAAAAAAAACGAAAATTAACTTTTTTTTTTTTGTTTTAAATATTTACAGCAATAATTAACAAAGAATTATGATTAACACAAATTGTTAAAACAATTCCCAGCGACAGCGCCAATTTTTTGATAGGTATTTTACCAACTACAAAAGTAGGGATAAAATCATACAAAATACTTGCAAGAGAACAAAGTTGTTTTAGTATAAATGCCTCAAGCAAGGTCGTTTTCCGCTGGGATTATTTAAAACAATTTATGAAAAACCAAAATTTTAATTAACTATTTAAAAACAAAGATGAGAAAAATTGATTTAATGATTTAAATTAAGAAAAACGAAATTAATTATAAAAGTCTAATTAAAAATCTGCAATTTTTAGAGAAAGAAAAAGGAAACAATTTTTAGAATTCAAATGAGAAAATACTAGGGTTCTGCAGTCACCTTAACAATCCTACATAGTTCTTCTAATTCCTTATGAATTACACATGCATATTTTGAAGGTTAGATTTTCCTAAAGTATGCCCTACGTCGAACCCCAAAGATAGAATGTATATCTAACATGCAACCCATCTGTGGCGTCCAGATCGAATGTGAACATGCAAGACTCATTAAGTTTTGTGAAAACCTTTTGAAAAACCATATAACTTCTAAGACGTGTCGTCCATCCTAAGTAGTTACACATGTTAACCACAAGAAGCCTTAGTCAATTTTAGGGACAGCCCTCCGCCAAAATTGCATCAAATTACTTTTCTAAATATCCTAATGGTAGCGAATCACTAAGATAAATAGATAGTTTAAAGCACAGTGATAAACAATTCAAAACTTGCATGCATAACTTCAAAAGAAAATTAAAAAGAGACTACATATTCTTGCTAAGGATCATGGCCTCACCCTAGTAATAGAAAATTAGCTACGCATATTCATAATTAAAATCAACATAATTGTATTAAACTAGAAAAAGAATGACAACACCTGAAAGTATAAGTCTTGGAAACTCTAAGCTCTTCCCAAAGTCTTATCCCAAAAGTTGCATACTTTCCCAAGATAGGTCTGCCAAAAGGCTTATTTATACTACTCTCAATAAAATCCTCCTAGTCAAAGGTCTTAGCATAAGACTAGGAAACTAAATAAATTGAAATAAATTAGGAAACATAATTCTAAATTAACTTGGTAAATTCGCCTAGAAATCTGCACAGCCATGTTTTGAACCCCAAATTAGCTCCAAAACTGGCCCAAAGTAGCTAGTTTTAAAGTTTGGACTATTCTGAACACTTCTCCAGAAGGCCACGAACCCATCTGAGGTCGTCTTGGGCTCCAAAAATGCAATTGAAGCCCAGAAACGTCACTTTCCAATAACACGTACTGCTCCTTCATTAAATCGTCAGAAAATAACCGCTTGGTACAAATTGCTGAAATTTTGACACGAACAAGCTAAGGAACACACGAATGTCCTCCAATTTGAATCACTCCAAAATTCGTCCATCGGTCACATTTTGCTCCAGAGAAAGTCGAATGTCCTATACTGAAAATATAAAGCAAAGTATCAAAATTCTACCAAAATAATACTAAGAATAAGGTAAAATATATAGTATAATATTGACTCATGAATTCCCATCCATAAAAGATAGAACTTTGTGTTTTGCAATTGCATCTATGGATAGGCCTGCCATTGGTATGGGGTATTCATCATGTGGCTCCGCTAATGTTTTTATAGTCAACACAGCATCAAACTGCATTAGTTATAGCTTTTAATACAGTTACAATGTTGGCCAACCACTTGACATATCCGGCAAGCCTAATAAATTCAGCCTTACCAGCCTCTCGATTTCTTCTTTGACCTTTTCTTCAATCTCCTTTGACATTCTTCTAGGAGCTTGCTTCACATGTTTATACCCTGTGTTTTACTAAGGTGGAATCTAAACCTGGAATCTCAGTGTAATGCCAAGCAAAATAGTCTTTAAACTCATGCAAAAGGCACTTTGCTCGATCACCAGCTTCCAACAAGCCACTGAGTTGTATGAGCCTTGGATCTTCCTTAGTGCACAAAAATTCAACTAACTCTGGACTATCAGGCATATCATCTGGCCAGCCCAAGTCATATACACATTTAGCCATATGTATGGCTACTTCCAACTCTTCTCCAAAAAACTCTTTTTCTTCTCTGCTCTGACTGCCTGAAGCCTCATTTTCCCACTTTGCTTCTTCTCTAGCCGAGCTTTCTCTTGCTTATTTTCTCCATCCCATACACCACTAGTTTTTTTATTAAGGACTTGATTGCAACTACTTGGTTCTTCCTCATTTGTTTTAACATTATTAGTGTTGGGGAGTTAGGACAATATGGGGTCTATCCAATTCCTTCCTAGTGAGAAACAATCATTGCTCCATAAGCTTTTGGGTCGTTACCTTAGTTGGGCGAGTGTTCTTTTCAGCTCTTAGGCACTGCAAAACTTCAATACTGAGGTTGTAGAAATTTTCCTTTTCAACATTAGCTGTACGAAGAAATGGACATGACTCAGCCTTCACCATTTCCCAAAATCTTGGTTCCTCAGCCTTGGCTTTACGGTAAACTGCAACCTGTTGGTGTACAATGGATAGCACAGATAGACTTTGATAGATCCAATCTCTACCCAGCAAAGCTCCATAAGTAGAGCTATTGTCCACTATAAAGAAAGCTAGCATGATTTGCTTGGACCCTAAGTTAACCTCCAAGGGCAATATCCTATGTGTTCTGGTAATGGCTCCAGAGAAACTATGGATTGTAAGGTCAGTAGGAATAAGATCTTCCTCACTTCTTCCTAATCTCTTCATCTGTTTTAGTGGTAGTACGTTGATTGCAGCTCATTCATCGATCAAAACTCTATTGAAGGGTATTTCCTCTAGATGAGCAGTTACATATATGGGTTTGAGATGGTTAGTTAGGGCCATATTTAGGCGGCTAAAGACCATTATGTTTGAATATACTTTCTTGGGCTCCCTCATTGTGGCCTCGGGCAAACCTGTCTTGCCTGATTCTCCTTCCCTAGCCTCCTCAACACTAATAAGTACCATTATTGGTTCTGTTGCCAAGTAATCACCCTCCATCATGGCAAGTTGGTCAGGTTCGGCGCAAAACATGGCAGATATATCATACATCATGTTTACATGGAAGTTGCTAGGTTTAGGTATATCTTCCTTCTTAGCCCCAATTAGGTATACAAATTCGTCTAACTAGGCATGTGCATCTTTTGGTAACATTAATTCGGGCATTTCTTCCTCCCTGGTTATACCAAACTTCTATGCTTGTCCTGGGATCTCACAAAGGGTATCAATTAACGAAAGGTGAAGGTATTCCTCTTTTAGGTGAAATAGTTCCAAAACATATTGGTTTTGGACTCCATCTGGGTGGTGTTGGCATTATGACCATATCCTCTTGTGCTCTTCTCAAGATTCTGTATTTCCCTGGATAGAGGTTTAAAGGCACATGATCTTTTTCCCCTTCAGTCTTGCTATTGGCCCTTTCTACTTCCTTTTTGCTCCTCTATTGAAGTTGCTTCCTTCATCCTTAGGGCACTTTCTCAAACTTTACATTCTTTAAGGCATCTGATGTGGCAGGGACCTTTGATGAGTTCATATGGGCTTTGTGCTGCCTCTAGACTCTCCTAATCATAGAGGCTCTCATTTCTTTGACTGGTCTCCCATCCTTTCCCACTACATACCATTTTTTGCTCGAGTCGGGTAGAATCAGTTTTGGTGATTGGGGGAACTGGATTTATTGTTCTCCCATTTATTGTAATATCACCACGATTATAACTTGGCTGAGGAAACCTTACATCCATCCATTTTGGCATTTTGGCCTCTTTATCGTCCACTTTCTCTGAGGCTTCATAGTTTCTGAATACCTCAGACAAACCCTTTGGTTGAGAGTCTCATCCCAACCTTTAGAAGACATTTATGAAGTTTTCTTTCCCAACTGCTCACATGATACTTTTGTAGGCCTCTTGCTCTTCTTTCTCTCTTATTTTGATTAACTCTTGATCAATGATAGTTCATGATGCTAGTACTTCTAGCTCACACTCATATTGGCACTTGCTACACAACACCACTCTT